TACCCACTTTAGCATTGAAATCCCCAACCACAAGTACTCTCACACTTGGTTCAAAACTCCCCATGCATTCACTCAACATTTCCCAAAATCTCTCTCTCTCCTCTACACTTCTCTCTTCTCCAGGTGCATATACGCTTACTATAACCCACTTTTCACATCCAACCTTTATTTTACTACATATAATCCTGGAATACATTTATAGTCCCTCTTTTCCTGCCATATCTTATCTTTCAACATTATTGCTACTCCTTCTTTAGCTCTAACTCTATTTGAAACCCCTGACCTAATCCCATTTATTCCTCTCCACTGAAACTCTCCCACCCCTTTCAGCTTTGTTTCACTTAAAGCATAAATAACTGCATAAATAACATAGTAATACCTAAGTAAACTCACATTTTGAAACATTGGCTTTCCATAATGCCATAATACAGCCAGGGATTTGCAGATCCAAGAACCCAGCTATTGTTATTGAGCAGTTGGTTATCAAACATAACTTGCACATAACCAAATTCACAGATGCAAAAGTTGCAGATTGCAACAGAGTACAATATTACAGGAAACCCTCATATAAAGCAAAAATACATGGAGTTTTTGTCTACAGGTTATTGAAAAAGTGCATCCTTTTAACCCTTTCAGGGTCCAAAGCCAAAATCTGAAGGGGTGCCCCAGTGTCCAACAAATTTTGAAAAAAAAAAAAAAATTATTATTTTTTCTTACAGAATTAACCCTTAAACTGTCCAAACAGATCTATGTTCACACGCGTAGTGCTCCAAAAGTAGATCTACGTCTTTTTACATATTTTCAATTACATGTATAACAAAAAAAAGTAGATGAAAGTTTTTTGTACACGTTTTCAAATGTAAAAAAAAAAAAAACTACATTTTTTTACATACTTCCAAATGTTGAAAAAAACGTAGATCTACGTTCGGACAGTTTAAGGGTTAAAGATAATAATTTTGTTAATAAAACAAAAAAAAATTCTGATCAGTACTTACCGAGATACAGCGGTGGGAAGTTGACCCAAGATGACCGGGTGGCGGCAACATCAGTGACTTCCGCAAAATCACATTATTTTACGTTTTTTATACTTTTTTCTTTTCTAATTTTTTTTCTTTTTCTAGTAACATTTGTGGCCTGTGAGACCAATATAATGTATATTGTATAAGTGTACACTCATTGTATTCAACACAATAACTGCACTAATTTGTTTATCATTATATGGCTTACAAAACTTGTTTACAAGTTTATTGCAAACAAAACAATGAAAATATTAGTGCGGTTATTGTGTTGAATACAACACTACCATATAGTACCATATGGTACAATGGTGCCATAGGGTGCAATGGTACCATATGGTACAATGGTACCATATGGTAGAATATGGTACAATGGCACCATATGATACAATGGTACCATATGGTGCAATGGTACCTTATGGTACCATATGGTACATTGTACCATATGGTACATTGTACCATATGGTACATTGTACAATATGGTACATTGTACAATATGGTACATTGTACTGTATGGTACTGTTGTATTCAACACAATAAACACACTAATATTTTCATCATTATTTCATTTACAATAATTGTTTACAACAAAAATATGTAAAAATGTTGTACAAAAGTAATGTTCTATTATATACATATTTACAAATGTATAGTCACTTGACATGTTCCTTGAGGTTGATAACAAAGCGTTTTGTCTTGGAAACTGCTGAGTCACTAGCTAGCTTGCATCGTCACTCACTCTGTCTTGGCTGGTGCCTCGTGGCATCAACATCTCCAAATGACCATATGGTATATGGTATTATACGTTACAGCGTACCATATGGTACATTGTACTATATGGTATAGGGTACAATATGGTACAGGATACCATATGGTGCAGGGTACCATATGGTGCAGGGTACCATATGGTGCAGGACACCATATGGTACAAATAGAGAGATCCCTATGGAAATAAGTCACCCTGACTTTTCTGGGTTATCCTAGGATTTTATACATATGCTGCTATGTATGATAATCTATGTAACTGTATTTGTGTACACCTGAATAAACTTATTCAAGCACATGTGGCATCGTAAGTTTATTTAGGTATACACAAATAAAGTTACATAGATTATCATACATAGCAGCATATGTTTGGAGAACCTAGGATAACCAAAAAAATGTCAGACAGACTTACTTCCATTAGGGTCCCTGTATCTTGTACCATATGGTACAATGTACCATATGGTATATACCATATGGTATAATGTACCATATGGTACAATGTACTATATGGTACATTGTACCATATGATACCATTGTATGACATGGCACCATTGCACCATATGGTACAATGGTGCCATGTACCATATGGTACCATTGTACCATATGGTACAATGGTACCATATGGTTCAGAACCATGGAATTCCTCTTCAGATCCACTTCCATCAATCTTAGAACTGTAGGTTGTGAAGAGGAGTGTCAGAATTCGCCAGGAGAGTGAGTGGGGAGTGAGAGCTTCCTTGCTGCCAGGCATCATGAACAAAGCTACTTTGGCGGCGTTCCCACAATGCCATGCAGGCGTCCAGATTTTTTCTATAGTGTGCACACTAACCAGCCAGACCTATTCTCTCAGATGTAGGCCTACCAGCCTTCTTGTGCTAAATTTGACGCCGCTAGAATTTTGGCGTAGATCTACGGTTTGGACCCTCAATGTAAAGCTGTAGATCTACGGCACAGACCCTGAAAGGGTTAAATAGTCTTGAATAAACTTGATAGTTTGCTCTCTAAGTGTGGAAGCATCAACTTATGTGGAAAATCTTGGTAGTCTGTGCCATGGATTTTTTTCCCCTCTCCAACCCAGGCTGGGCTTAAGGTCTAGAGTTTGGAAAGGCACTGCCACAATACCACTTACAGTTGCTGTCAGTATATTTATTATAAGACTTAGGATGTTTCTACAATACCATCTCATCATTGGATATTAACCACGATGCATAAGAGAACACTGCATTAACATCTGTGGTCCTAGACTTTTTAAACACCTTACCAGAAAATATCAGAAACAATCAGAACAAACATTATTTAGAAGTCTTCACAAGGAAACCTGACAAGCACCTCTGCCAAGTGAAAGATCAACCGTGCTGCAATAAATGTATGGGCAAGCATACTGCCAGCAATACCAGCTTGGTTGACCAGGCAAGCACCAGAGAAGCCTAACCCAGGGCTGGGCTGCAAAAATAGGAAAATTCTCAAAACCCATGAGAGGTACCCAGAGAAACACTAGCAATACTGGAGGTGCTAAGAAGAATGAACCTATGATAGCATTTAAGAAAATGTTAATTTCAGATGTGCATGATGTAGACTGCCTGCACTTTCTGTCCAAGAGAATCCACCATCCATACAATTAGAGACAATGAGAAGAAAATAAAAATGTGTGATTGTGACCAGGTGAAAAAATGCCAGAGGTCAATGCAGCAAGGTAAAACAGACTAGAAATGCATTACAACATACCTGAGTACTCCAGCACAATCATCAACTACTGACATTTCATCCACATCAACACAAGAACCATCTACCTCAGCCCAACAAGGCCACATCAGCCCTCACCAAACACTTTAATATTAGCAAGCAATGACAACTAGCTTCCAGGGTAAGATGTAATGAAGTACAAGTAGAATATTTAAAAATACAGTAGGGCCCCACTTATACAGCAGGTTAGGTTCCAAGCTACTGCCGGAGAGCAGAACGCCATTTCTTCCACTTATAAAAGGATATAAATGCCAGATAACAAATTTACACTAACATATATTAAATTAGCAATAGAACTAGGCATTAAAACAATAAAAAGTAAAATACACACACATTACACCCATTACTTACCTTAAAATATTTGTAGTCTTAATGTAGGGTGAGAGGTGAGTCATATTTATTTGTAGGAAGTCAGGTTTGGGAAGTATGGTAGTCAGCCAGGTCAGCCCAGCCCACCCCACCCCACCCACACATAATATACTATGACATTTAAAGCACCCCAGAGCAATAAAATACATACACAGTACATTCATTAATTATCTTAAAATATTTGTAGTCTTAATGTAGGGTGAGAGGTGAGTCATATTTATTTGTATGAAGTCAGGTGTAGGAAGTATGGTAACCAGCCAGGGAAGCCCACCCCACCACACCCACACATAATGCAAACAGATGAATGCGTCTGGATTTGTTTCATACATTTGTATTATACCATAAGACAAACACTTTACATTGTGTACAAGTTGTGTCTCCATGCTGATACAGTAGAATAAATAAAGAGGAACACTCTCATTCTCATGTAACACCATTTTTAGAAGAAATGACGCTCTGAGTGAAGGCATACATTACCCCCAGTAATATTATAGTGTACGCATTTTCTCTGATGTTGGACTAGAGAAAACGATATTCTTGCCATCACTCCAACAAGTCGCCTGGCTGTATTAATGTTAATTTATTCTACTGTGGGGTGTATTAATCATGTTTATATGTTACGTAGCATGTTTATTACGTACATAATTTTGAAAAAATATCATAGCTGGATTAATGGAAATGTCTATATTAATGTAATATACAACATTTAATGCAAGATTATTATTATTAATATCGCATCAAGAGTAGAGACTCCTGGTGATTTTAATGTGTTCCTGCACACCAGCACAGTGTGTAAGTATATTTAGATATAAGTACACATAAGTATAATTATCAGAGTACATATAAAATATGCAATAATTTTAAGACACTTGAAATTTTAGAGTTTCCAGACATAATAGATGTGCTCACAGAGAATGTAAACAAACCAGATGGGGCATGCCGTATTAGGAAGACAGGGAGCCATATAGTGAGTTTTGGTCGTAATTTGAAATTGCTGTATTAGCAGAACACCATAAGGTAAAATGCCGTAAAGTAGGGCCTTACAGTAACAGCAAATTTAGAGGGCTGTAAAATACACGTATAACACTATTTTCCCAAGTACTTTTTTCACTTCATATATTGCTATTTTCCATTAGGTGGTGAATTTAAGGAATTTATCCTTCCCTGTTTATGAAAGGATTTAATGTAGTATTTAATTTTAAGTAACTGGGATAATGCATCATTCTGATGTAAATTTATACATTTTTGGTAATTATAAACTTTACCTTGCGTGGGAGTCTGCTGTGGGCCAGTTGATGGAGGACGTGGAGTAGTGGGCTGACTGCTTTCCATCTCCCCAGCTTCTGTGATTGATTCATCCTCCTCCATCTGGGGCACCACAATATCTTCTCCTCCACTGTACAGGTAAAAGGGTTAAAGGCCTTGAAAATGGCCCTGCATATTCAAATTATGCTAAGAAATCTAAACAAAATGTTCTAAACATCTCAAGGTTAATTCCCTTCCCCAAAAATTACATTCAGTAACAAATTCGCAAATGCTTTGAGATAGGCCGGCCATTTTCTAATACAGGTCAGCCATCACTAATCCGGCATCAATGGGACCTGAAGTATGCCAGATTAGTGAGTTTGTCGGATTACAGAATGGTTAGTTTAGAATACCCATAACTGACCTATCAATAGAGGCTCCTTCTGCTACATCTTCCTCATTTTCATAACTGCTTTCTCCTCCACTGGCTTGCTGCTGTGGATTTACAACCATCTGCACAATTTCTGAGTCAGTATAATGATGAAATTTGAGTCAACATAATGATGAAATTTGAAATTATGCTAGTCGAAATTAGTGCCAGATTACTGATGGAACTGGATAACTGATTAGCGATGGCCAACCTGTACTGTATGTATGTACGCATATACGTACAGTGGAAACCCGAAAATCGGCCGCTGTGTTTATCAGCCGAATCGTAATTAGGCCGGTTTTGGGGCAAAATTTTGCTCCGTATTTTGGCCAGTGCCTCACATATCGGCCACATTAGACGCATCAGCCCACCTCCCGCCTGGACGCCGCATGTAGGTGAGTCAGTCTCCCTGTGTCTCTCGGTGAATGAGCATATACTCCGAGCATTCATCCAAACATTTCCTTAAAATTCATTGGTTTTTGTGCTTGTTTATTAAGTGCGATTGTGAAATAAGCCACCATGAGCCCAAAGAAAGTTCCTAGTAAAGTTCCTTTGGTAAAGAAAGTGAGAAACACGATGGAATTTAAGAAAGAAGTTATTGAAAATACGAGAGTGGTGTGCGGGTGCTGGAACTTGCCAGGATGTATGGGAAATCCAAATCAACAATCACTTCCATCCTGGCAAAGAAAGAACAAATCAAGGAAGCTGATGTGGCGAAAGGGGTAAACATGTTAACGAAAAAGAGATCACAAACAATGGAAGATGTGGAAAAGTTGTTGTTGCTGTGGATCAGCGAAAAACAGTTAGAGGGAGATAGTGTTTCAGAGACGATCATTTGTGAGAAGGCAAGGCAGTTGCATGCGGATCTCGTAAAGAAAATAGTACCTGGAACTAGTGCTGACGTTAGTGAAAATAAGGTCAGCAGAGGATTTCAAAGTGAAGCCTTTACTGGTGTATCACTCTGAAAATCCCAGAGTGTTCAAGAAAAACAATGTCATCATGAGTAAATTGTGTGCGATGTGGTAAGCTAATCATAAGACATGGGTCATGAGGCAACTTTTCATTGACTGGGTCCATGAAGTGTTTGGACCGAGTGTGAAAAAATACCCCCAGGAAAATAAATTGCCACTCAAGTGCCTCCTGGTAATGGACAATGCTCCTGCTCATCCTTCAAACTTGGTAGAGGAATTGTCTAGGGATTTCAGTTTTATAACAATGAAGTTCTTGTCTCCTAACACCACTCTTCTCATCCAGCCCATGTACCAGCAGGTCATTTCTAACTTCAAAACACTCTACACAAAAGCGGTGTTTCAAAGGTGCTTTGAAGTGACCTCAGACACTGAATTGACCCTAAGAGAGTTCTGGAGTGACTTCCAGGATTTTAAACTCTTCGTGGAGAAAACTGTGGCCAGAATGTGTCCTTGAGAAGGATTTTGAAGGATTTGAGGCTGACCCTGATGACCCTACACCTGTTGTGGAATCTACTGTGTGTTTGGGGAAGTCCATGGGGTTGGACATGAGTGGCGAGGATGTGGAAGAGTCGGTGGAGGACCACAGGGAAGAGCTAACCACTGAAGAGCTGCAACATCTTCAACTGGAACAGCAACAAACCACAGCTGAGGAACTTGCTTCAGAGGAAGAGGAAGAGAGAGGGAAGGAGGTGACTTCTTCAAAGATTAAGAAGATTTGTGCAATGTGGAGTAGGGTGCAAGCTTTTGCTGAGAAATATCACCCTGACTAAGCTGAAACAAACCATATCTGCAACTTCTTCAGTGACAAAACCTCAACCCTCTTCAGGCAAATCTTAAAGAGGCACCAGAAACAGCCCTCTCTGGACAGCTTTTGTGTGCAACAGGGGTCCAGTGACTCTCAAGCCGGTCCTAGTGCCATTAAAAGACAAAATAGGGAAGCAACCCTAGAGAGGGACTTGATACCTGAAGGCATTATGGAGGGGGATTTCCTTTACAAACACTAACCTCTCCTCTTCCTGTCTTCCATATGCCAACAAGTCTTCAATACTGGTATGTAATAATGATTTAAATGTCATTGTTTTGTCTATGTAAGACTATAGTTAAACTTTACAAAATGTATTTTTTATTATTATTTTTGGGTGTCTGGAACGCATTAATTGTACAGTGGAACCTCGCCTAACGAACGCATCGCATAACGTTAAATCCGCCTAGTGATACATTTTAACGCAAAAATTTTGCCTCAGCTAGCGCTAAAAAACTCGCTCAACGCGGTTCGTTCGAGACGCGTCCACATGCAGCCTGAGCCCACCTCACTTGTTCCGTGGGTGCCAGTGTTTACAAGCCAGCCACCGTGGTCGCATCTCTCAAGCGATCATATGTGAAAAGGCTAGGAAGTTGCATGAGGATTTAATTAGAAAAATGCCAGCAACTAGTGGTGATATGAGTGAATTTAAGGCCAGCAAAGGTTGGTTTGAGAGATTTAAGAATCATAGTGGCATACATAGTGTGATAAGGCATAGTGAGGCTGCCAGTTTGGAGCAAAAAGCAGCTGAAAAATATGTGCAGGAATTCAAGGAGTACATAGACAGTGAAGAATTAAAACCTGAACAAGTGTTTAATTGTGACACTGACAATGTTGTGAAACACTTTAGGAATGTCAAAAGGAACGGAGTACAGGCCTCTATGGACAGATATGCTGTGCGACAGAGGTCCAGTGACTCTCAAGCTGGTCCTAGTGGGATTAAAAGAAGAAGGGAAGTAACCCCAAAAAAGGACTTGCCACCTCAAGTCCTAATGGAAGGGATTCCCCTTCTAAACCTAAACACCATCAACACTCTCATCCTCCTTCCCATCCATCAATCATCACAGGTCTTCAATAAAGGTAAAGTGTCATGTAAACTGTGCATGTCTTCTTCAGTTTGTGTGTATTAAAATTAATATTTCATGTGGTAAAACCTTTTTTTTTCAATACTTTTGGGTGTCTTGCACGGATTAATTTGATTTCCATTATTTCTTATGGGGAAAATTAACTCAACTAACAATAATTTCGATTAACGATGAGCTCTCAGGAACGGATTAATATTGCTGGTCGAGGGTCCACTGTATATATGTATATATATATGCAAAACAACCACTCTGAAAGAATAGAGAAATTCCAAGCGCTTTCGTGACTACTCACATTATCAAGGAAATAGTTCCTTGATAATGTGAGTAGTCACGAAAGCACTTGGAATTTCTCTATTCTTTCAGAGTGGTTGTTTTGCATATTCTGAAATCACCTGTTTACTGTGATCTTATTGCATGCATAATATTATTATATATATATATATATATATATATATATATATATATATATATATATATATATATATATATATATATATATATATATACAGTGGACCCCCGGCTTATGATATTATTTCATTCCAGAAGTATGTTCAGGTGCCATTACTGAACGAATTTGTTCCCATAAGGAATATTGTGAATTAGATTAGTCCATTTCAGACCCCCAAACATACACGCACTTACATAAATACACTTACATAATTGGTCGCATTGGGAGCTGATCGTAAAGCGGGGGTCTACTGTATATATATATATATTCACCTACCATCCGACTTACGACCTGCTCGACTTACGACCACTCGACTTACGACCGTGTTTTTTATGCCAAATTTCTGGGAAATAAACAACTATTTGTGCTGTACACAGTGTTTATCCTAAACCTAACAGTATAAAATACAGTACTAACAGCATAAAATGTAAAGTAAAACATGAAATACCAAAATAAAGCAATAAAATAAAGTCATTACAAAAATGTTTTGTTAATATTCAATAGTAAAGTTCGGCTTACGACCATTTCGACTTACGACCGGTTTCTCGGAACCGAACTCGGTCGTAAGTCGGATGGTAGGTGTGTATATATATACATGTATATATATACAGTGGACCCTCGACTAACGCTATTAATCCGTTCCTGAGAGCTCATTGTTAGTCAAAATAATCGTTAGTCAAGTTAATTTTTCCCATAAGAAATAATGGAAATCAAATTAATCCATGCAAGACACCCAAAAGTATTGAAAAAAAAATTTTTAACACATGAAATATTAATTTTAATACACACAAACTGAAGAAGACATGCACAGTTACATGACACTTACCTTTATTGAAGATCTGGTGATGATTGATGGGATGGGAAGAGGGGAGCGTGTTGATGGTCTTAGTGTTTAGAAGGGGAATCCCCTTCCATTAGGACTTGAGGTGGCAAGTCCTTTTTTGGGGTTACTTCCCTTCTTCTTTTAATGCCACTAGGACCAGCTTGAGAGTCACTGGACCTCTGTCGCACAACATATCTGCCCATAGAGGCCTGTACCTCCGTTCCTTTATGACATTCCTAAAGTGTTTCACAACATTGTCAGTGTCACCATTAAACACTTGTTCAGGTTTTCAGTCCTTCACTGTCTATGTACTCCTTGAATTCCTGCACATATTTTTCAGCTGCTTTTTGGTCCAAACTGGCAGCCTCACCATGCCTTATCACACTATGTATGCCACTACGATTCTTAAATCTCTCAAACCAAACCTTTCTGGCCTTAAATTCACTCACATCACCACTAGTTGCTGGCATTTTTCTAATTAAATCGTCATGCAACTTCCTAGCCTTTTCACATATGATCGCTTGAGAGATGCTATCTCCTGCTATCTGTTTCGTTTATCCATACCAATAACAGTCTCTCAACATCTATCACT